TCCCTTCCTTCTCCCCAGACTTGGGCTAGCGAGTGTACCAAAGTGCCCTTCTAACCAGTCTCTCTCTCTTTGGTTTTCCTCAGTGGTTTCTTTTGCTCTCTCCCTCCTGTTTTTGTTTTTTTAGGAATTGTTCTATGCCATCGAATCAGTTCCAACTCATAGAAGCCCTGTGTAGGGTTTCTAAGGAGCAACTGGTAGATTTGAACAGCCGACCTTGTGGTTTGCAGTCCAGTGTTTATGCTATCGCAGCACACCAGGACTCCTTTTCTAGGAGAAATTTATATTTATTTCCCAAATTCTTCCCTCATGCATCTCATATAACTTTTATCCAAGAGACATTCTAGGCTGGGTCTAGTCTCTCTTTTGGGGGCTTCCCTGTCTGGTCATCTTCTCTGTGAGGCCTCACACACCTTTCCTAGACTGCACTGCGCCTTGACAATAATCAGAAACTGGGGTGATGTGGGAGCCATTCCTCAGCTGAGAATCAATCCAGACATTGCTAATTTCTTTAGCACAGTTCAATCACTTTGCCAAAAATAAGAAAAGCAACTTGGAAATATGTCGTTTCTGAAGACATGAAGGTTTCCCTGGGAGTCCAGACACGTATGTTTTCTTCTTACAGCTGAATACTTGAGGAAATAGTTCTGGGAAGGAAAAACAAAAGTTCTAAGCCCAAGGAGATGGCATAGTTAGGTGAGAGTGAATGTTGGGAAGCAGCACAGAGTTACTGAACAATTAATTAGCAGAAGACAAGCATCTACATAGCTTCCTCTTGGGTTGTTTATTGAGCTCAGGGAGAGAGCTGAGTGAAGGAGAACAAGCCAATGATTTATCAGACACTGTGGAGTTGATAAGGTCTCAAATTTACTAGAGAAAAGCACGGTGCAATCGAGCAAAAGCAACAGCAAGCCACTGAGACAGACGGTTCCAATTTGTGAAAGATGAGTTTTGCCACATTCTTTTTGTCAGTTAACACTTATTAACAGCAGGCATGAGGCAAAGGCCAGACAAAATTGGAACAAGGAAAATATCATTTGTTGGGATGAAAGATGGAGAAGGGTTCCGAACATGATGTGTTGCCATTCACTGTTATTAGCAACATTAATTAGTCTTTCCTCACCCTTCAGAAAAGGAGCTCTGGTAGCATAGTGGTTACGAATCGGGCTGCTAACCGCAAAGTCAGCAGTTCGAAACTACCAGCTGTTTCGCAGGAGAAAGATGAGGCTTTCTGCTCCCGTAAAGACTTAACAGCCTCAGAAACCCTGTACAGGGTTGCTATGAGTCAGAACCAACTCCATGGCACACCAACAACACCCTTCAGAAAGAAATGTGAACTCTGGGGTGGCATCTCTAAAGAGAGTACTTGCTATACCCTATGAGTGACTTTCAGTGATCCCACAACTATATACATGAGGGGGTTTCAAAAAGTTCATGGTTAACTGGAATGAAAAGAGAATGGAATTTTTCCCACAAACTTTTTGAAACCCCGTTGTTTGCGTCAAAACTTATCAAATTGTACTTTAAAATAATGAATGCTATTGGATGTAAATTACATGTGAATAAAGCTGATATTTTAAAGCCAAATTCCGCATACTAACCTGCATGTTTCCCTGTGGTCTGTTCTCCACTCTCTCCCCTACTTCTCTTCCTGGCCACCCACACCCGCTTCCTTATTGTGCCTCAAACTTTTCTATAGCCTTTCTCTTGAAAGCTCTTCCCCAGCTATCTACATAGCTCAGTCACTCCCTGTGACTGAGTCAGGTCCTTGCTCAAAGCTTGTCTTCACTGACCCATGCAGATGACTGTCCCTATTGTTAGGTGATATCAAGTTGATGCTGATGCAGTGACTCCATGTGACTGAGTAGAACTGGCTCATAGGGTTTTCTAGGCTGCAACTTTTAGGGGAGAAGATTGTCGGGGCTTTCTCCCACAGAGCCACTGGTGTGTTCAAGCAGCCATCTTTTCAATTAACAAACAAACACTTAATCTTTGTGCTGCTACATATAAATTATATCATTACTTAAGGGCTTCTTTGTTGGCTGTCTTTGTGCTAGAACAGAAGCTCATAAAGGCACAGACACTGCTCATTTTACTCATTGCTGGATCTTCTGTACTATAACAGTATCTGACAAATATAAATATTTGAAAATGACAAAACTTAGTAGCTCTGAATTCAGAAGGAGAAGTTGCTGTTGTTAGGTGCCATCGAGTTGGTACCGACTCATAGCGACCTTATGCACAGCAGAACGAAACACTGCCCGATCCTGGGCCAACCTCACTACTGTTGCCATGCTTGAGTCCATCGATGCTGCCACTTGGCCAATCCATCTCGTTGGGGGTCTTCCTCTTTTTCTCTGACCCTCCACCTTACCAAACATAATGTCCTTCTTCAGCGACTGGTCCCTCCTGACAATATGTCCGAAGTATGAGAGATAAAGTTTGGCCATCTTGGCCTCCAAGGAGCACTCTGGCTGCACTTCTTCCAAAACGGATCTATTGGTTCTTTTGGCAGCCCATAGCGTTTTCAATATTCTCCTCCAACACCTTAACTCAAAAGCATCAATTCTTCTATGGTCTTCCTTATTCACTGTCCAGATTTCGTATGTATATGAGGTTATGGAAAATACCATGGCTTGGGTCAGGTACACCTTAGTCCTCAAGCTGACATCTTTGCTATTCAACACTTTAAAAAGGTCTTGTGCAGCAGATTTGCCTAATGCAATACGTTGTTTGATGTCTTGACTGCTGCTTCCATGAGTGTTGATAGTTGATCCAAGAAGAATGAAGTCCTTGACAACTTCAATCTTTTCTCCATTGATAAGAATGTTGTTTGTTTTCTTTACATCGAGATGTGATCCATACCAAAGGCTGTGCTTGTTGATCTTCATCAGTAAATATTTTTAAGTCCTCTTCACTTTCAGAAAGAAAGGTTGTAATCATCTGCATATCGCAGGTTGTTAATGAGTCTTCCCCCAATCCTGATGCCATGTTTTTCTTCATAGAACCCAGTTTCTCGATTATTTGCTCCTCATACAGGTTGAATAAGTATGGTGAAAGAACACAACCTTGTTGCACACCTTTCTTAATTTTAAAACACTCAGTGTTCCCATGTTCTGTTCGAACAACTACCTCTTGGTCCAGGTACAGATTCCTCATGAGCACAATTAAGTGTTCCAGAATATTCATACTTCTCAATGTTGTCCATAGCTTGTCATGATCCACACAATCAAAAGTCTTTGCATAGTCAATAAAGCACTGGTAAACATCTTTCTGATATTCTCTGCTTTCAGCCAAGATCCATCAGACATCAGCAATGATATGCCTTGTTCCATGGCCTCTTCTGAATCCAGCTTGAACCTCTGGAAGTTCTCTGTTAATGTATAATTGTAGCCGTTTCTGTATTACCTTTAGTAAAACTTTACTCGCATGGGATATCAAAGAGATTGATGATTTCCGCATTCCGTTGGGTCACCTCTCTTTAGAATGGGCATGAGTGTGGATCTGTTCCAATCAGTCAGCCAGATAGTTGTCTTCCAAATTTCTTGCTGAATAGGAAATTTCAAAGATCAGCTTGAGAAGATAAAGCCAAATATTACAGCCAAATGTGCAAAGATCTAGAATCAGAAAACCAAAAAGGAAGAACATGCTCAGCATTTTTCAAGCTGGGAGAACTGGAGAAAAAATTCAAGCCTGGACTTTCGGTATTGAAAGATTCTCTGGGCAAATTATTGAATGATGCAGAGGGCATCAAGATAAGATGGAACGAACATATAGAGTCACTGTACCAAAAGGAAATGGTTAATGTTCAACCGTTTCAAGAGGTAGCATATGATCAAGAGCCAGTGATATTGAAGGAGGAAATCCAAGGTACACTGAAGGAATTGACAAAGAACAAGGCACCAGGAATTGATGGAATAAAAATTGAAATCTTTCAAGAAAGTGAGGTGGCAAAGGAGGCACTCACTCATCTCTGCCAAAAGGGGAAGAGGAAACTGCTATTTTTTTCCACTGTAATCCAACCCCTACATCCAAAATTTTATTAATGGATAGTCAGTGAATAATTTTTGAACAAATATACAAATGAATGAATCATTTAACAAGGTTTCCTTATAAATGGAAAACCTTTGCCGTGACATTCAAAGGACTGAGGGCATGTGGAGGCTGGGAAGGTACCACTGATGCACTTCAGCAGTTATTGGAGTATTTTAAGCTGCAATTCTGTGTTCCTCGAGCTTGCCTTAGAAATAGTTGCCACATAGACATTGTGTATTGAGTTATGAAAAGAAAAGCTGCACAGTTTGCTTATCTATGTGCACCATCTTCCCTGTGGGGCGGTGCTTGTCAGGTGTGTGTGTGGTTACACTCCCCTGTGACATAGCTTGCACCAATGCAGAGCCCTGTCTCTAGCATACATATGGCTTTATTCGTGTCACACAACCAAATGAATCTCAGTATCCCTGTCTATAAAATGAAGCGATGCTTACTCCACAGTGCTCTTAAAAGGGTTCTGTGAGCCAGTCATTCTAGAAGTACTTTGTAAATTTCAAGACACTATTTTAAAGAGATGCATGGTGGGGACAGGAAGTGAGGCAGAGGAGCAAGTACCTGAATCCTGTCATCCTCCAAGCAAAGCTAACTGCTCACTACCATGGTCCCTCTTGGCTCAAAGGATGGGGGCACAAGCAAGGGGAGAAGGCCAGGGGGCATATGTCAGCTCCACACCAATGCAATCACCTAGTGAGTAAGTACAGTTCTGTGGTGCCCAGACTGCCCTGAGAGATGGCCATGAATGACAACAACAAAACCACTCTCAAGGCATGCACAGGATCTGGGTATTTTGTTTGCAACAAATCTGACCTGGGAAGGGTGGAGAAATTCAGTTGCCAAGGTGACCCATTGCTGCTCCTTTCCAGGACACAGCCTCAGCGTGACTCGGCCCTGACCAAGCTCCACCCCTTTCTCCAAACCCAAGTTGGATCTGTCTGTGGTTGTGATCCTACCTCAGAAGTGTGAAGGCCATTCTGTTTCTGGGTTAGAGGGGCTGAGTTGAGACTCTGAGGATTGGGGCACTGGGTTCCACAGCTCATCTTCTTCTCTGGGTTGGATGTTCCACTTGGGACTGAAGACCGGGGGACACCATTGGAGGACAGTCCATCTTCTAGCACACCTAGGAAGGTAAGAGGAGGATGACACTAGAGCCTTGCATAAGGTAGTTGCTGTAAACAATTCCCAAGATTGTAGAGAAAAAAAGATACAAAAATAGAAGTCTCTGGAAATCTCACCATGCAGAACTAGCTACCATTTAAAAATAAAAACAGGTGATTTTTATTTATAAAAATAAGATTTAAAAATAAGTTGTAGCCTGAAATTTGTACTCAGGAACATATTGTTGTTGTTGGTATGTGCTGTTAAGTTGGGTCTAACTCATAGTGACCCTGTAGGGCAGGAGTGGGGAACGTCTGGCCCTGACAAGGCAGCCATCATGTTGCTGTTGATGTTAAGTGCAATGAGTCGGTTCCAACCCATAGTGACCCTGTATAGGGTTTCTGAGGAGTGGTTGGTGAGCTTGAACCATAGTCCTTGTGGTTCAAACTGACTTTGCAGTACAGCGCATTAACCCACAGCACTATACCAGGACCCCATCACATTGTTGTTGTTGTTGTTGTTAAATGCCGTCAAGTCGGTTCCACCCTATAGTGACCCTGTACAGGGTTTTCGAGACTGTAAATCTTTACGGGAGCAGAAAGCCTCATCTTTCTCCCACGGAGCTGCTGGTAGTATCAAACTGCTGACCTTGAGGTTAGCAGCCCAACTCGTAACCACTATGCTACCAGAGCTCCATCACATTGTTGTTGTTGTTAAGTGCCGTCGAGTCGGTTCCGACCCATAGCGACCCTGTACAGGGTTTCCGAGGGTGTAAATCATCACATTAGAGGTGAGTTAATTAAATGTTTGACCAAATACAGTAGGCTAATTTTTAAGTTGATAATTTTGTATGACCCATAAATGACATTATAAATTTTGACAGAAAAAAAGGTTCCCTACCCCTGCTGTAAGGAGCTCTGGTAGCGTAGGTTACAAATCGGGCTGCGAACCTCAAGGTCAGCAGTTTGAAACTACCAGCTGTTCCATGGGAGAAAGATGAATCTTTCTGTTCCCATAAAGATTTACAGCCTTGGAAACCCTGTACAGGGTCGCTATGAGTTGGAACTGACTCCACAGCACACAACAACAACAACAACCCCTGCTATAGAGGGTTTCTGAGAAGCAGCTGGTGGGTTGGAATCACTGACCTGTCAGTTAGCAGTCCAGTGATTATCCTACCACGATTCCCAACAACATATAGGTGACATATTTTCACACCACTAAATATGCAATCATTATTTTTTCTTAGTCTGATGCTGATTTTTTTCCTAAAAATTCATTTGAAAACTTTCACTCAGTAAGTTAGAAAGAATGTTACTTACTTTTAAAATAGATTTTATTTTTTAGAGTAGTTTTAGTCCACCATATTATTTTTTAAACATTTTCTGCCATTGAGTTGGACTAATTGCCTGTAATAGCATATTTTTCCTACTTTTTCATTATAATACATGTCACTGTGATGAAATTTCTTATTGCTAAGGTTTTATTATTAATGGTTACTTCCTTAGGATAAATTCCTACAAGTGGCATGACTGCTTTACAAGTTACACAGATAACTTTGTGGAATTACATCTCAACATACTGAACTGCGCATGTACCTCTCCTATAACAAGTACCAAGGTAAGATAGAAAGGAGTTTAAATAAATAAACATTATAATTGTTTCCCATTCCTCATTGATAAACAATAGAAGGAAACCCTTGAGAAGTGTATCTGAATTTTAAATAGTTCATGAAGTTTGAGGACAAGACCAAGAGGATTTCTAGAAGCAGGCAGAACTCCTGTACCAGCCCCCAGGAAGGCCAGGAGTATCCAAGTAGGTTGATCATTCTAATTCTTCCCCCAGCTGAGGCCAGACAGAAATGATGGAAGAGTCTGCGAGGGGTTCAGCTCAGAGAGATGCACAGTGCTCTCAAGGGCTGGTGACATCTGGTAACAGAGAAGACTCATGTCAAGAAGACAGGCTTTCTGAAAACAGTGCCAAGAGTTAGGACAAGAGTTGTTCCCATTGCTGCCCTCCAAACAGACTTCTCAAACAGATATAGATTTAACAGGAAATGTCAGTTACAAAAATGAGCAGTAAGGAAAAACAAATGAGAACATTTGATGAAGGCCAGCACTATGAGAGAAAGAACAAACTCTACAAATGAAGCACCGGTCACCAAAAGAAATGGGAGTTAATGTGATGTTCAGGAAAAAAGTTTAAATGAGTATAATTAGTCTACTCAGGAAAATGAGGGATGATAATAAAGCCATAAAATGAGAACAAAAAATAAGATCAACTAGACATATTTGACAAAGTAATCTTAACTGTTGCAAGGAAAAGAAACAATCAAAAAACAACCTTAATGGAGAAGCTGATATAAAAAAACAATTTAGCGAGCTAGAAACCCTGGAAGAAAGCACAAAGAAATAAATGAATTCATTGAAAACAGGATAGGAAAAACTTTATAGGATTTGGTTTTGGAGATTTTGGGTCATTGTTTTATGGGACAACTCAGTTATTTTCCTAATATCATGTTTAGTGCTTCCGTTCTATTTCCTAGTTCATTGTTCATTTCGTAGTTCATTGAAATAGTCCACCAAATAGCCACCGAACACATACAAACATATACACAAACACAAGAGCACCTAGACAGATCATGGTGAAATAATTGTGCTCATGAGGAACCTGTACATAGACCAAGAGGCAGTTGTTTGAACAGAACAAGGGAACTCAGAATGGTTTAAAATTAGAAAAGGTGTGCATCAGGATTATATTCTTTCACCATACTTATTCAACCTGTATGCTGATCAAATAATTTGAGAAGTTGAATTATATGAAGAAAAATGTGGCATCAGGATTGGAGGAAGACTCATTAATAGCCTGCAATGTGCAGATGATACAATCTTGCTTGCTGAAAGCGATGAAGACTTAAAATACTTACTGATGAAGATCAAAGGCCACAGCCTTCTCTATGGGTTGCACCTCAATGTAAAGAAAACAAAAATCCTCACCAATGGACCAATAAACAACATCATGATAAATGGAGAAAAGGTTGAAGTTGCCAAAGACTTCATTTTGCTCAGTTCAACCATCAGTGCTCATGGAAACAGCAGTCAAAAAATTAAATGATGTATTGTATTGGACAAATCTGCTGCACAAGACCTCTTTAAATGTTCAAAAGCAAAGATGTCAGCTTGAGGACTAAGGTTTGCCTGACCCAAGCCATGGTATTTTCAGTAACCTCATATGCATATGAAAGTTGGGCAATAAATAAAGG